AGAGAACACGTACAATATGGATGAGAAGGGATTCATGATTGGAGTGATAAGCAAGGGCGTTAGAATCTTTAATAAGCAGCTCTTTAGACTCTAGAAATACAAGCTAGCATCTCATGATAGCAACAGGAAGTAGGTGACAGTGGTAGGAGCAATAGGAGCTGATAATTTTACGTTGCTGCCTGTAGTTATTTATCCTTTATTGTCTCTCTAGATGCAAGAGAGCTAGGTGCAGCGCGTTAAGGCCAAAAAACACAATATACACTTTAGTACCTTAGTAAATGGCTGGACGAACGATGCTCTTAGTGTTGCCTAGCTCAAGCAAGTGTTTGATCGCCATACAAGAGTGAGGGCGCGAGGGAAGTACAGACTCTTGATCCTTGATGGCCACGGCAGCCACGTCACGCAGGCCTTTATTGAATACGCTCATGCCAACAAGATTCTGCTACTTATATTCCCTCCGCATGCTACTCACGCGCTTCAGCCGCTTGATGTGGCGTGCTACAGGCCGTTGGCGCAGCACTACTCTGATGAGCTCCTTCATCGCGGCCACACCACCAAGGGGTGGGTACCTGTGGCTCAGGCTGACTTCTTCCCGCTTTTTTGGGCAGCGTGGAAGAAGACCTTCACTAAATACCTTGTTGTACAGGCCTTTAAGTGCACTAGGATTCACCCACTAGATTCTAACGTCGTGCTCAAGAAGTTCAGAAACCTAACACCAAAGTTGCCTAGCACAACCCCAGAGCCTACTCAGCTTCAGCCTGCACTAGAATCACCTAGTTGGCGCAAGACGTCGCGGCTTCTTAAGCGTGCAAGAGAAGATAATATACCTAGTGCTGCTGAGGCAGTTAATTAAGCCCTTTACTAACTCCACGTGCGATTAGAGATCTTAGAGGCTAGGGTTAACAGCCTAGAAGAGGCTCTAAAGGCTAATAAGAATAAGAAGAGGAAGTAGAAGGTACTACCTTTGCAACCTATTAATAGTAATAAGGGTGGTGGTGTAGTTCTCTAGAGTCCTTCACGCATTAAGCACGCAAAGCAAGAACTCTAGGCAAAAGAGGACCTTAAGCGTGCTGCAGAGGCAGCAAAAGCTACTAAGAAGGAGCTTCAACACTTAAAGAAGATTATTTAAGCAAAGGAGAAGGAGGATAAGCGTGTAGAGTAAGAGAAGAAGAAGGTATTAACTGCTAAGGCACAGGCTGCAAAGCGCGCTTAAACTAAGGCTTATAAAGAGGAGGCAAAGCGCAAGAGCAATATAAAAAAAAGTACTTAATTACCTAAATAGGCTAAGAGTAAGGCCTTACAGAAATCTTAGTTAAAAGTAACAAAGAATTGTGGTGGTAGTGCTATGCGTAGTTGGCGGGTGCCTCACAGGTTGCCCTCACCACTACCACCTACCACAGCATCTACTGGCCGCACCACGCGTTCCCCTAGAAAACTGTGGTAGCTAAAAGTTTCGCAATAGTCTATTTAGTAATCTACCAAATTATCTTGTAATAGCAGCGTTGTGGTGTTGCTTAATAATCTCACTTGTTTCAGGGTACAAAAAGTGATGTTGGTGCATCACGCGCCGCGGTGCACAACGAGGCCGTGCACGTTATTTAATATGATTTTAGATTGCAAATTTAAAGAAACTGTCACATACGGCCATAGGACGTTGAAAACAAGGCTTCCCGTTCGCTCAGCCCTATTTAAGCAACGTACCGGCGGATTAGTAGTTAGGTGGGTGACCACTAGCGAATACCCGCTGTTGTATGTTTTT